CGTCAGAAAAGTATGAAAACCAGAAATGTACAACCCATGTAACTGCAATCCAGGTCAAAAAATAAAACCTTACTGGTACCCCCAAAATAGGCTCACATGCCCTTCCCAATCAGAAGGTACAGACCTTCTCTGTGCACCGCTAGAGTTAATCACAATTTTGACTTTTATATTAATCACTTTCTTGCTTGATTTATAGTTTTACCACTTATTCATGCATTTGAAATACTGTGGTTCAGTTTTGTCTGCTCTTTGGTTTTTGTTTTTGGTTTTTTGTTGTTGTGCTGGTGGTTGCTGTCTTTGAAATTTACATAAATGAAATTATACAGCCAAGTATCCATTTAGGTTCAGCATTTTTCACTCTAAGTCATGTTTGTAAATGTAGTTATAATTAGTTTTCATTGCTGTATAGTGTGTACAGTATTGTTGCTATATTGTATGAAGTCACCACAGATTATTTATCCATTCTGCTGTTTGGGGCCCTTGTGAATAATGTTGCTACGAACATTCTTTCATATGGCTTTTGATAAACATGGTACATATTTCTGATGGGTATATATTGCCAGGTCAAAAGCTAAGTGTACTGTTAACATTTTTAAAAGCCATATTACTTTACCGCCAGAAGAACATGCAAGTTCCCATTGCTCCATGACCTCACCACACTCTTGTTTTAGCCTGTTTTTCATGTATTGATACTTCATGGTTTTAATTTCCATTTCCTTGATTACTAATGAACAACATTTCTTTTATTTTATTGGCTATTCTGTGAAATTGCTGGTTGATATGTCTCCTCACTTTTATATTGTGTTATCATTTTCTTATTGATTTATAAGTGTTCTTTACATATTCTGGATTTGAGCTAATTATTAACTCTGTGTTATAGACCTCTTCTCGCAACTGATTGTTTGCCTTTTCACCATCCTAAAAGTCTCTGCGGAAGCTTAGAAATTCTTAAGCTTTTTTATGTTTATTTATTTTTGAGAGAGCGAGACAGAAAGTAAGCAGGGGAGGGGCAGAGAGAGAGGGAGACACAGAATCCAAAGCAGGCTTCAGGCTCTGACCTGTCAGGACAGAGCCTGATGTGGGGCTTGAACTGACAAACTGCGAGATCGTGACCTGAGCCAAATTCAGACACGCAACCGACTGAGCCACCTAGGCACCCCAGAAATTCTTAATTTTAACATTGTCAGATTCATCAAACTTCTGCTTTCTGATTAATGCTTTTGTATCCTCTTTAGGAAGTTCTTTCTCTACCCTGAGGTCATAAATATAACCTCCTATATTAACATATAGATTTATCATTTTGCTTTTTTTAGTTTATTTGTATTTTGAGATAGAAAGGGACAGAGAGGAAGGGAGGGAGAGAATCCCAAGCAGGCTCCACACTGTCAATGCAAAGCCCAACATGGAGCTCAATCCCATGAACTCTGAGATCATGACCTGAGCCAAAATCTAGAGTCAGATGCTTAACTGACTGAGCCACCCAGGCACCCCTATCATTTTCCTCTTTATATTTAGATTCAGAATTGACTTACAGTATGTTTTGAGGTAGGGGTTAATTTTCATTTATTTCTGGTTGGATAACCAATCATCTTAGCACTATTCATTGAAACGATGATCTCTTCCCCACTGCTTTGTAGTTCCACTCTCGTAAATTAGGTGCCTGTATATGCCTAGGTTAATTTGTGGGCTTTCTATTCTGATAGTCTATTGTACATTGTTTTTGTCATTTAGTCTTAAATAATATAACTTTATAATAAATTTTGATAGTCAGCACTCAGTAGAACAGGACATTCTACCATGTGTTTTTATTTCATTTCATTTCATTATATTTTGGTAAGAACATTTAACATGATGTCCACCCTTTAACAAATGTGTAAGCATACAGTACAGTATTATTAACTGTAGGCACTACATCGCACAGCAAACCTGGAGAAATTCTTCATCTTGCATAACTGTAACTCTGCTCATTGAACAGCAACTCTTCATTCCCCTACCCCCACCCTTCAGCAACCAGCATTCTGCTTTCTGCTTCTGTGAGTGTGACTGTTTTAGATATCTCATATACATGGAAACATGCAGTATCTGTCTGTGCCTGGCGTATTTCACTCAGAATCATGTCCTCCAGGTTCAGCCATGTTTGTCACATAATGGCAGGATTTCCTTCTTTTTTAAGACTGAATAACCCTGCATTGTATATATACACCATGAGCGCTTTGGAATTAGCTTGTCAAGCTCCACAAAGAAACGTGTTGAGATTTTGACTGTTACTCCATTTAATCTATAGATCAATCTGGAGAGAATATAACAAAATTGGGCTTTCTAATACATTCGTGTAGTATATCTATGTAGCACTTCTCAGTTTGCCTCAGTAATATTCATAGTTTTCTATGTAGAGGCCTCACATATCATTTGTACATTCCTAAGTATTTTATCTCTTATGCTCTAACAAATGCTATTTTTGAATAAATTTTATTTTCAAATTTTTGTTGGTTTATAGCAATGTGTGGATTTACAATTTTTTACCTTTGTATGCAATTGTAATTTATCTGTAGACTTATTTATAAAAAAATTTTTAATGTTTTATTTATTTCTGAGAGAGAGAGAGAGAGACAGCATGAGCAATGGAGGGTCAGAGAAAGAGGGAGATACAGAACCTGAAACAGGCTCCAGGCTCTGAGCTGGCAGTCAGCACAGAGCCCGATGCAGGGCTCGAACCCACAAACCGTGAGATCATGACCTGAGCCGAAGTCAGATGCTTAACTGACTGAGCCACCCAGGCACCCCCATCTGTAGGCTTGTTTAGATTTCAGGTATACATAATTACATAATCAGCACATAAGGAGTTTTATCTCCTCCCCTCCAAATCTTTTTCCCATAGCTTTTCTTTCCTTTTCTTTTGTTTCCTTTTCCTTCATTTCCTCTTTTCTTTTCTTCTTTTTTCTTTTCTTTTCTTTTCTTTTCTTTTCTTTTCTTTTCTTTTCTTTTCTTTTCTTTTCTTTTCTTTTTTCTTTCTTCACTGAGTGGAATCTCCACTACGATGCTAACTACAAATGGTAATGGTTGGCATTATTGTCATATCCCCAATTTCAAAGGGGGAATAAACACTCAAAATTTTTTCTATTAACTATGATATTGTATGTTGCTAGATTTAGTCTGCCAATTGTTTACTTAAGGTTTGGAATCAAAGTTCATGAAAAAGAAAATCCTGTAAATTTTTTTTTTTAATAATGTCCTTGTCAGGCTTTGGCTTTAAGGTTTTGCTAGATTCTTTTTTTTTTTTTTTTAATGTTTTATTTATTTCTGAGAGAGAGAGAGAGAGCGTGAGCAGGGGAGGGTCAGGGAGAGAGGGAGACACAGAATCTGAAACAGGCTCCAGGCTCTGAGTTGGGAGTCAGCACAGAGCCCGATGCAGGGCTCCAGCCCACAAACCGTGAGATCATGACCTGAGCCAAAGTGGGACGCTTAACCGACTGAGCCACCCAGGCGCCCCTGCTAGATTCTTAAAGTAAAAACTGGAGACTGTTTCCTCTTTTCCCTATCTGGAAGAGTTTTCATAAGATTAGCAGTACTAATTAGAATTCACCAGTGAAGCCATCTACCTAAAAAATGTTTTAGTTTTGTATTTTGTTTGTTTTGGAAAGGTCTTTAATTATAAATTCAATTTTGTCAGTAACACTATTTAGATATTCTATTTCTTCTTGTGTGCATTTTGGTTAGTTGTAGTTTTTCTAGGAATTTGTCCATTTCATCAGAATTTCAAATTTGTTGGAAGAAGATTTTTTTTGCTATCCTTTTATGTTTTTGTAATCTATAGCATATATAGTGATGTCTCCTTTTTCATTCCTGTTTTTTGTGCCTTTTCTCTTCTTAAATTGGACTCTCCAGTGTTTATCTATTTTTATTACTCTTTTTACTTGTTTCATTAACATTTAGTTACCATGGGCTATTTCCAAATATATAGGGCACTTTTTCTCTTTACTAGAAGATAGTTTTGATTTCTAGCTGATTAAAAGATCTGTCCTGAAAATGCTGCCATTTAAAACTCTTTGTTCTTTGCTTTATTTTTGTAATTAAGTTTCTAAAGATACCACTGTATACTTGAGAAAATGTATATTTCATAGTTGTAGGATATGGTTTTCTACAGATTACCATTAGGTCATTTTTGCCTATTGTGATATTCAGATTTTCTACATTTTTACTGTATTTATTTGTCTATCTGTTTGATCAGTTGCTGAAAGAAGTATGCTCAACTTAACCCCATTGGTTAGTTCTGGCAAATTTCTGCTTTCTGTATTTTAAGCTTCTATTACTAAGTGCATGCAAATTTGGAGTTATCTTCCTGGTAAATTGAAAGTTCAAACTGAGTTAATCTCTTCATCTCTAGTAGTGGTTATTGCCTTAAAGCAAATCTTGATTTATACTAATCTATCTACACCAATTTTCTCTTGGTTAGTATTTGCATGATAAATAATTTACCATCCTTTTCTTTTAAACTTTGTATACCTCAGTGTTTTACATATTGATTTGTAAGTAGCAGATCTTTTTGTCTTCTTTATGTAATCGTAGTTTACCAATCTGTATCATTAAAGACACAGTAAAGACATTTATACTTAATGTAACTGAGTGTAAGTCTGTGTTAGTCTTTAAGGTTAATAAGTCTTTAAACAACAATTTTCCACATTCAGAAAATAGTTCATTGATACCTAGGAGTTTAAGAAATTTATCCTCTCTGATTTGTATATAAATATGTAGGGATTTATGAAACCTTCTCATGTCCTATTATTTCTTTGACTGCTGTGTAATGAAAAGAGATCCAGAGATCTCCCATAAAATATGCTAAGAACAACATTTCTAATCTAGTGTTTTGGGAATTTGGCTTGCAGTTCTTGTCTTTATTGTGATTTACCTAATTATAAGAAGAGCATTTACAATGTATCTCTTAATATATCTTTTTTTTTTTTTTTTACAAAATATTACAATGATTTCATTCTTGATTACAGGGCTGTGACTCCCAAATGAGCATGTCAGAAATGTCCTGTAGTGAAAGTACCTCCTCATGCCAGTCCCTTGAACACAGCTCAGTTCCAGAAATCCTCATTGGCCTGCTTTATAATGCCACAACTGGAAGACTATCAGCAGAAGTGATAAAAGGCAGCCACTTCAAAAACTTGGCAGCAAACAGACCACCCAGTGAGTGGAAAAAAATTTTTTTTTTAATTCTTATGTTTTCTGCACTTATGGGACTCTCAGTGTTAGGGGCCTCAATCCTATCATTTAGTCTTAACCGATCAAAATGAAATGGTGTAATAATCATCAGCTAATCTGTTTCATGCTTTCTATTTCCAGTCATTTGGGAAGTAGAAAAATTTGAAATTCAAAATATTAATTGTAAGGAGACAAGACTTTTAATTTTTCATAGTGCCTGCCGAATAAATTATCCCTGTCATAGCCATTATCTTCCAATGCTAGAAAAAGTTACGGGTTTTTTTAACGTTATTAGTATTCCACAGATATGATCAGGAATATATATGGCTATTGTTGTCAACTGAAGATTAATGTTGTGTTTTCTGTCTGCATGCAGTACTATGAACTAATGTTTATACTTCTGTATTTTTTTCTCTTTTCTCCCTTATGATAATTTAAGAAGAAACTGCATCTTCACAATTTTCCTCCTTTAATATTATAAATCAGTACTGCCAGCAGTCTTTTCTTAAATGGCATGGCTTTGCCATGGACCAGGACGAACTGAATAAGGAGTAGTTTGATATTTCCCCTAGACGCTAGGAAAGGAAAGTGAGATGGTACACCTCTGCTCTGGTCTGTATGCCTTCCACTCCCCACTCCTTATATCTCTCTTCCTGCTCATGGGCATGAGGGTGGATTATAGGAGTGCAGAGAGATTGTCACTCAATATACCTCCATAGCTGTTTTTTGATATGTGTAGAGATAAGGCAGGAATGTAGCAGCTTCTTTATACTTCTCTAAAATTCAAGCTGTTAGTGCCCTAAACCAAAAAGTTGAGATGAAATCTTAACGAGTAATGGCCACCTTATATTTGCTTAAAGATTTCTTACAGACTTGCTTAAAGCCGTCTTTTACTCTAAGAATCAAATAATTATTGTAGAAAGGGAAACTTTTTCCACCCTTGAATTAAATTAACTTTACCTCCCAATGTCCTAAACATTGTCTTTTCAATTAAAGTGAAAAGTCATAAAAATATATTTGATTTTCGCTAAGTAATATTGGAAACCTTGCTTCTTACAGACATCATGGAATGTATCTATTCCTGAATTAAAAGCCAGAAGGCCAAAATTACATTTCTCTTTCTACCCTACCCTTGGAAGAGTAACAGTTTAACTCACCTAAGTCTGTTTCCTCATATGTGAAATGAAGATTGTGTCTTTCACAGGGTCATCTAAGGCTGAAGTCATATGAAGGTGCATAAAAGAAAGATGGAATTATTATTGTCCCCCAATTCAGAGGGAGGAAGGAAGCAATTACTAAAATAAACAGCGTTGGAAGTGTGACCAGGGTTATCTTTATTGATACATACTTAGAATGCAAACTCACATGGCCTGGTCTGGGACAGTAACTTCAATGAACAGACTTTGCAGGCGAGAGATAAGGAGCGTGGCAAGGCTTGTGCCAGATGCATGCACGCATCCTGCCTCAAGACACTCAGATTCAAAAGTTTGGAACACTGTAACAGATAAACAAAATAGTATGTGGGGTTACATCCGGCCCACAGCTGTCAGTTTGCCATTTGTGCTTTAGCTAAGTTTGATTTTTTGACAAATACTTAGCTTGGAAGACTCAAAAAATGGCAAAACAGAATGATATGCTTGCCTTTGTGTCCTTGCCGCCTGTACCTACTCTGATAGAAACAGAGAAACACTAAACAGAACTGAAACGAAGAGAGCGGGGGTGGATAATAAACAGGGTGAGAAGTTATAATGCATCCACCACTTAGAGTAGGTAAGGGTAAGTTAGAACCATTTGAAATAGAACAATTCTATTTTAGAATTAGAGCTTCAATATCAGGGTGGTTAATGGTGTTAGCTGGGAAGCCGCTAGTAGGTAAATATGGCAACATTAAAATTAATTGTAAGAGGTGGAGTCTGTATAAAGCAAAATGTATCAGTTTGTCTTATACTGTATACATTATATAAGATGGTGACCCTTTATATATACCCGGATGTAGGCCTTGAACTGTGTTATGGACTGAATAATCCAAAGAAACATGGGAACATCCAAGAGCAAAAGTTTTGATAGTTCTATTTTATTTTGTTTACCTTAATTTTATATTACATTGAAAGTAATAGAAGTATTTGAAATATTTAATATTGCATGGATAGACTTCAGAACTTAGCATAATGATAATTCTATAATGACTTCTGTTCAGTCTTTTATAGTCTGATAATTTGCATGATTCTATGTTCAATGTGCTTTAGACCAAGAAGATATCATTATAAAGATATCCCCCTTTAAAACAGTGTAATTTTTGTTTAAGATTACACAATGACCTTAAAAATTCTCATTCCATGAAATTTACCCAGCAACCCTTTTGTTCAGCCCTCTACCTGAATTAAAATGCTGAAGTTTTGTGTTCTTCCACCCCAGTGAACAGTGTTTCCTCTTTAATTCTAACCTTTGACCCTCTTTCACCCAACAATTGACATCTGGTCATTATTTCTTTTACTGCTTTCCACCCCCTGTTGTCAGATGGACTGTTCTGTTGTCTAAAACACTTGATAGGTGGACAGGTTTATATAATCCGAGGTGAGTTCCTGTAGAGGCTAATTGGATGTTGTCTTTTCATGCAAAAACAAAATACCCTGAAACTTGCCAGCAGTGAAGCTGTCCACCATGTTGGTTTCCAAAACAAAATGCACATTTATTATCTGTGGTACTTTCAATAAAACTAACTTAGAATTTATCTCTGATTATGGATGATGGTATTCAGAGCATGTATAAAATAAGCAAAACTTTTTAAATTAAAGGTTTTATTTTTCATTCGTTGTATTTTGATTCATACAATAGATATTTCATGAGAAATATTGCAATTTTCATTAAAATGAATTGAAATTTTGATATGAAGTACACATGATGGATTACCATGCTGAAGGTCATTTGCATGAGTCTCATGAACCTGACGACACAGTTGTTTGAAGAGAGGGTTTATCTCCCAAATAACCAGGCAATGAACTGTTACATTTCACTTTGTACACGAAACATCACATCAGTTTTTTTTTCTAATTCATGAAAATAGTTAAGAATACCATACTTTAAATTTCACGTTCTATTATGCCAAAAAAGAATCCCTATAGTATTTATTTTAACTATCCAAAAAGCACATTAAATGTACTCTTGCATGAAACCAGGAGAAAGTTTTACTTGATTTGCTAAACTTTGAACCCGTAATGCATTTGGCTTCATTTTGGCCCTTTTAAATGTTTTTAAAATATATTTAAAAACCACATCCATGCAGAGATTTTTTTAACATTTCATCCTAAGCAGTTTTGATGTCATCTTTGCATTCTTGTCTTCTTTTTTCTTTACCATCTGCCTTCATTTCTATTTGTTTGTTTATTCTTATTCTCTGAAAGCACAGTGGAATGCTTTACAGTGTTGTGGCTAATTGAGCTTGCTAAGTGTTTATTAATGCTATGACGTCCTGCTTAGTGAAGCTAAATGGGGATGGGGTTGGGCAGGGGTGGAAGTGGGAGGTCAAGGCGGGGCGGGGGGAGTGGGGGGTGGGAGGGTGGAGGAAGGATTATGAGGTATACCTTTAAATTCTAACTATAACATAGAAATAGTGAGGTTAAGATATTATGACCCACAAAAGATTTTCTGCCTGCCTAGCATTCTCTGTACTTGCCACATTTAATAAGCAACTACATCAAAATAGAATCAGTTGAATTTCCATTAAACATGGTATACACCATATCCTTATAAAGTATAAATACTTTATGTTCTCAGCAGATGTCACAAGAAAGGTATTTTGAGTTTGTTTCAAATGATATTTGTGGTATGTTGTTTTTTCCCTTAGATACGTATGTTAAATTAACTCTCCTGAATTCCATGGGTCAAGAAATGTCCAAATGCAAGACATCCATCCGCAGAGGGCAGCCCAATCCAGTATACAAGGAAACATTTGTCTTTCAAGTGGCCCTATTTCAGCTGTCTGATGTGACACTCATACTGTCTGTGTATAACAAACGCAGCATGAAAAGGAAAGAGATGATAGGCTGGATTTCTTTAGGTCTGAACAGCTCTGGAGAAGAGGAGCTCAATCACTGGACTGAAATGAAAGAGTCGAAGGGACAGCAAGTGTGTAGATGGCATGCGTTGCTAGAGTCATGATGAATAGGATAAACGAGCAATTACAATCCAAGACAGCGTTATTTCTGATTGCAGCATTACTGTTTTTACCTAGTCACCATTAGAAGAGTTGTTCTTTGAAGCGTCATCCTCAACCTTGTACCAGAATGCTTGAAATTCTGTGGAAAGAGCGTCTAATCCTGACATAAATGAAGAAAAGATGTGTCTGTGGTAGAGCTTGTTTGGGAAATGAGAAACTTACATCATCACTGTTAACAGTTCTCCAGAGCTTTAAGAACATGCTTTTGGTTTGAAGTTAATTTCACTTTAGCAAAGAGCCAGCACTTTCATGAAAAATCAAAATTATGAGCGATTTTTTAAATCAGAAGTTTTAGTTGCAACACTGTTTTAGTGTCCCTCCCCCCTCCTCCGCCCCCACCCCACAAACGCTAACCAGGAGACGCAGATTTTGACGGGCTCATCCCTGGTGTTGGTAATGTTCTTTAATCTGAAAAAGTACATCTCCGGCTCTGTCATGAGGCATATCTAATGGTGAAGGGTTTCAATTACATAGAAAACGGCTTCAGTTCAGATATTTTCCCTTTGTGCACTTAGTTTCATTGTGCCTCAGTTCTCCTCAATAGCACTAAATCTTCAGTGCAAGCAAGTCTTCATTTTCATGAGGGAATTTTTTTTATATGTCACTTTAAAACAAAAAGCCCATTTCTTCATTTGCCTCTGCTTTTGCCTGATCCAAAGAGACCTAGTCCCTGTACTGGTCCCTTGCAAGTCCTTTAGACAGGTTGTCCTGTAGAACTATGTAACTTTCTGTTGAAAGCACTTCCTGTATTCCTGTATTCCAATGTAGGAAGCTATTAGAGCAGGACTTTAACATTTCTTTCCACGATTGACTCTTTAAAATTGTAGTAATGTGAAAATGCATTTTTTAAAAACTAAAAAAATATATAGTAGATAAGCTGTTGAAAATCGAAAACAATTCAAGTTCAAGAGAATTTTAATTTTAATTATCTGCTCTGAGAACTTTGTAACCAACACTGCATAAAGCAGGTAGCATTCAAATAAGAAACTGTTCTCTCTCAATCTTCTTCACTCTTGAATTTGTACTTGTGATATAAAGACTCTCCAGTTCTCGGTTTGAATCAGAACATCATGTTAAAAACAGTTCTGAGATTCCTTATGAAATTTCTAGTGACTTGTGACTAGATTTTATGAAATTTACAGATACGTTCTTCAACGTGATGTCATCCTGTGCCTTTCATGTAAGTTAAATTTGCTCATACAGCTTGAAAGTTGTATTTGCAAAATTAGGCCTTCGATTTTTATAAATGTAAAGATTCCTCAGAACAGTGTCACAAGGTCTTTATTTCCTCTGAAGTATGTAAAAGTTGTATAATGTGCTAATTTTTTTAAATGGCAAAGCATTTCCATTTGTTGTTTTTATATTTAGGAACTCTTATTAATCAGGAATATTATAAGCTGTTTTCTTTTTAATTTTGCTTCTTACCCAGTGTATAATTTTATGCATATACTTTATTAAGTAGAATGTTTTGTATATATGAAACATATTTTATTTCTCTTTCTAATTTCTAATTAAACTAGACAAAAATATACTATTTACCAATTACTAAAAAGCAATGGACCATTGTTCCCAGTGCCAACTAAGCACTATATATTACGATAAGCTAGGACCTGTTATTACCACAATAAAAAAACCATGCATAGACATTATTACATCAGCTTGGCTCTACTGAAAAGGCCTTAAAAGAAATCCAAAAAGACAGTGAACTCCTAACATTTTTTAGTTTAAAAAATGGCAGCTCTATGCATTCATAACAAGAATTCGAAGATAAAATACAAATGCTATATTGGGTGACATGAGGTTTAAGAATGTATGTTACAGAGTTACATTAAAGGGAAAAATCCATTATTTTATTGTTACACTAATGAGCGTTTTCCAGGGTTTTTTATAGATGAGTTAAGTTATAAAGTTAGAGAGAATGAGAATCAAAATGGTAAAATCTCTTGCATACATGTTTTCAACAACAGTGGAAAGAGATTTAAAGGTGGGTGGGGCTGGGGAACATAGACCTTACTGGGAAACTGGACTTAAGCATTCGATGCTGCAAGTATCTCTTCTGGCTTCGCAACAATGGACTGCATTGCTAAGAACTGGAATCTTCCTAATGAAAGGGGTCATATTTGTAGCTGTAACAAAGCCTAATCAATAATCAAACATATTAGGAGACCAGTGTGGTGCTTTCTCCTTCAGTGATGAAAAGACCTAACTAGCTGTTGATTGCTGAATCTGTCTTTCCGCAGACTCTGTCCAGAATTGTATGTGTGCTTTGATCTGTCTTTGTGGGGTTTTCTGGTGTAGATATCAAACCCAATAAGACTTAAAAATTAATCAACAATTTTAAAACTTTGCACGAAGGACCCTACCTCCACCCCAGCTGCCAAGTCCTTAAGGATTATGAATTCTGTGTATACTGTATCTGTATACACGCACGCCTACATGCATACTACACACACGCGAGCGCGCAAAAAGGTGAAGGTGCCCGGGCTTTTTCAGATAACTAATTAGAAAAACGTTTATCAAGTTTATGGATTATTTTTCTCCTCTCTGTATTTACTAGAAGTTATATTTGGCTTTGGGTGCTATTTGCTGCCATCTTCCTCCACACAGCAAAATATATATCTTTGTACCTTGTGGATTGACACAACTTAGAGTAATTACTCCCCAAAATTTGTCTATTCTTTTAGAAAAAGATTAAATAGGTCTCGAGAGACCCGCTTCACTCTACTGAACCTGATGTACAAGACAGAACGACTGCTCTTTTGTGTGCTTAGATTTGCATGAAAGCGTAAAGGCAAAATCTTATCTCTCAGCGATTTACAGCAAATAGGGGCCCACTGGTGGGCAGCAGGTGTTGTCACAGAAACTTGTGAGAAAGACAGCCTGCTTTCTTATTGTTCTCTTAAAGTCCCCTAAGTTTTATAATAAAATGAGATAGTCCAAATATGGCAATTGACTGGCATTCATGGGGAGCATCTGAGCCTGGAATTACAGGCTTCATCTGTCTCCCAAATGAGCTGCAAAATGTAGTTGTTTATCACTGCCCAGGAAACAAAGTGTATTTCAAATCCGTAAAAACTTTGTTTAGTATAATATTCTCTTACTTTCAGGGGCTTTCTTCTGTAACCTTGTGTCTTCTGTATTGTCCACATTTTGCGTGAAGTCCATTCGACTCTTTTATTGCTATCTTATTGCATTCAGTGAATTCTCAGTCATGTTGTATTTAGTGACAAAAAAATAAATAAATTGGGCCACAATTTTAAAAAAGAAAAACCAATAAGAAAACATCTAAGCTACCTTGATTACTATTTACATGCTTAGTTGTAGGGTCTGGTAGGGTGGATTCATCCAGCCTAGTGCAGACGACCAGGGCTGCATGTTAAATCATTTTCTCAATACCACATCATTATTTTCATTTATTTATCAAGTGAATCAGAAGCATAATCAATGATTGCACAGTAAGATAGCACCAAGAGGTGAATAGGTCAGAGAATTAATAGTGTTCTTTACGATAAAGATGGAAACCAAATGCTGTCATAGCTTTTCAAGTGAACTGAGAGGCTGTTTGAAGGTATAAATTTTAGATGAAATAAGAACAGTAGCCATCAACAAATTTTTCCAGCTATGAATAGAAATGGCACAAATCCACTCATAAAATTGCTCTTTGCCCACATGGACTAGATGGTCAATTCATAGAGATTTTTCTCACTGATAATTATTACATTATTTCACACTGATAATTATTATCCAAAAGCTTTTATTTCTTGTTTGTTGGGTTTGTTTTTTTCCCCACTCACCATTCCCAGCTCACCCATGGCCTGCCTGGAGGTAGCCATCGTTATCATCACCAGCCAAACTCTGTATTGAGCAGAAAGTTAAATACATTATGAAACATTTTTAAATTAACTTTAAAACAGCATCTGTGCCCACCAAAATGTATAAGAGGATGATAACTTCTACAATTTATTAGATCTAGCACAATAATTTATTATTTTGTTTGATTCTCACAACAATGCTATGAACTAGGTAATATTTTCACATCTTATAAGTAAAGAAACTGCAGCATAGGGGGTTAAGCAGAGTTGCCCATGGTCATCCAGTAAGTAAATAGTAGATCAGGGATTAGAATCCAGGTGTAAATTACTCTAAACCTATCATACATATATTGCAATTGCATCCCTTTTTACTAGTCACAAGAAAAACAGGACAATATTATATTTATTAGTAATGCCACCCACCTTAATTGAATGGCAAACCTAGAAAAAGAGAAGAAAAAAAGAGCTTGGTAAAGAGAAATACAAGAAAAGATCAGATTTTTTTCTTCTCAAGATATAAATGATACTTCTCTGTAATAGTTTGAAGATGACTTTGATTTCCAGAGACTTGGAGATTAATTTACCTCACAAATTTAGCCTATAATTATATTCTGAAAGTATGTTAATCAATTTGTTCTGCTCCTTGCCTAGGTTTGGGAATCCAAGATACTTTAATTGTATATGATCCCCTTTCTACCGCATGAAGTAGATATCCTGTGTCCTTTAGTAGGTATCTTGCCCATATCAGTAGTAAGAGGAATGACCTCTGTCTTCCTCTGTGCTCTCATTGTAATTTATTTATGTTTCTTACATACACATTATTAATGCTTAACTAGATTACAGCTTACTTTATTATATGTTTTTCTTACTCCCTTAATATGAGTTAATGCCTTGTCTTATTATCTCTATGTGCCCATGCTCATACATAGTAGGCACATAATAAATATTGAATCAAACTAAATTTCCTGCAGAAGAAATCAATAATACTGTTATATAGATCTCAGTTTTTTATGAATCGTCTGCAATGCATGGATTTTATTTATTCGTTTATATATAAGAGCACCTACTATGTGTAATGTACTGTTCTAAGTGCTACAGATGAAGAGATTGACCAAGTCTCTGCCCTCACA